CGCCCCATGTGGCTGCCTGACCACTGTGATGGGCAACATTCCTGGCCTGGAGGCTCCCAGAGCTTAACTTGCCTTCTGACCTTTTCCTAGCCATCTCCTCACTTGGCCCCTACTTAATCCCACTCAGCCCCACCCAGCCCACGTCACCAGGTGTGGGCAAGGATGCTGCTGAGGTAGCCAATGCCCTGGTCTCCCCGGGGCAGCATCTATTCCTAAAGGACAGAGAGGAAGAAAGGCAGTAACTAGTTTCCTCAGGCAGTGTGCTCCCCCAGGGACTCACAACTGGAAAAAACAGAGAAGGTGGGTTAGTCCCTGGACTCAGCTGTAGCTTGTTTCTGGTGATCCAGAGATTCCTTCAGCCTCAAAATATGTCCTTCCATGGCCTACCCTAGTTGGAAACCCCATCTGGAGGAGATGTCCTTTAGATGAAGGTCTCTGGATAGACTGACTGTGTTAGCTGGACGTGAGAGAGGGATCCTTCATTCTTCTTTCATTGTCTTACTCATTTATTCACCGTGCATGAAGGCTAACTCTCAGTGCACAACACAGGGCACAAGAAATATGGCTTTTCTTTTTCTTTGGATAAACTAAATTCCAGCATTGAGTCTGTGTATCACCATGCTGGCAGGAAATTCAGTGTTGGTCATTACTGAGGCTGCTTCATGGGCTCCCTAGGTGGCGCTACTGGTAAAGAACCCACCTGCCCATGTAGGAGACATAAGAGACCTGGGTTTGATCCCTGGGTTGGGAAGATCCCCTGGAGGAGGGCATGGCAACCCACTCCAGTTTTCCTGCCTGGAGAATCCCATGGACAGAGGAGCCTGGCAGACTATAGGCTGTAGTGTTGAACAGAGTCAGACACAACTGAAATAACCTGGCAAGCACATATGCAAGAGGCTCCTCTACATCCCCCATCCTGGTTCTGGTTGTGCAAAGGTCCTGGGGTCTTAGGCAGAATAATTTGGGGAGATTTCTTTGTCTGTCTGCTTCCATCTGTGGCCACTGAGGTTCTCACTGTCTGAGTCAGAGGTGCCTTAACGTCCAGTGACCTGGTGGCATGCTCTGGTCACAAGAAGGTAGGATTCCAATGTGTCATGTCCAGCCTTCCCAAGGACTTCATGGAACATCTACTCTGAGGCTTTCTCTGCTTCCCAAGCCCGAGGTCCCACCAACGCGGACTTTCTCCTCCTCCTTCTCTCTTCCCTTCCCCTCTGGGACCCTCATCTCCTCTCCGAACTCACACGAGACTTAACATCACGCAGCCGCAGCTCTCAGCTCTTCCAAAACTCCAGCCCCCGGAACATCTCAGGGGCTGACCAGCTGCCTGAACTGGGGATGAGGGAAGAAGCACACAGAGGGCAGCACCAAGCAGCGCCTCACGAGCTCATCACCCCGCACACGTTTATACCCACGTGACCTTGGAGAGTCACTGGAGCAACTGGCTGGCTCTTTGCTGACAAAGACAAGAACAGAACACCGGAGGAATTGGGCACAGCTTGGGTACAGTTTGTGGGGTCAGCAAGGAAGTAAGTTCTGGGAAATTAAAGCTGGGCGTGGCAGTGTCGATAGGGAGGGGCTTTGAAGGGAGTGGGATATTTGGGGGAGGCCTGATTGGCTCGTGTTCCCCTGGCCCTGCCTGTAACCCTAAGAAGGGTCTTGGGAGCTGCTAGGGAAAGAGAACAGCCACACCTTCTGAGAAGGCATCTGGCAGCCGTGCAAAACGCACCAGGCCCTGACTTCTGGTCCTGGACCACCATAACTCATTGTGAGAGCTTGATCAAGTCTGTCCACCAAACCCCCAAAGCCCCCCATCCACCTCCTCCAGGCCCTGATTCTCCAGCTGAAAATACAAGCATCGGGCCAGGTCCTGATTTCTGGTGATGATGATCACAATCTCCAGCTGGGGGTCTACCATCACCCTTGTCTTTGGCCTTCATTGAACCCCTCCCACCATCTTGAACAGAGGTGGCCAAAGGCTGCTGTCGGAGTGGACTCTGGTCTGGGATCGCAGCTGGAGGATGGCTTGGGGTGGGGTCAGACACAAGCCAATCAGAAGTGGTAACATCTCTACATGGGCATGGAATATTTATTATTCAACAGTAAAAAAGAAGGAAATCCATCTGCAGCAACATGAGTGAACCTCGAGGGCATTCTGATAAGTGAAATATGTTAGAGAAAGATAAATACTGTATGATCTCACTTTTATGAGGAATCTTAAAAACCCAAATCACAGAAATAAAGAACAGATTGGTGGTTGCCAGAGGCAGGGGATAGGGAGAGGGTAAATGGATGAAGGTTGTCGGAAAGCCCAGACTTCTGGTCATCAGATCAATACTTGGAGATGTGATGGACAGCAGAGAGACTCTAGTCAGATCTATACTGAATTATTTGAAAGTTGCAAAGAGAGTAAATCTTCAAAGTTCCCATCTTAAACACACAAAACAATTGTAATTATGTGAAGTGATGGATCCATTAACTAAATTTACCATGGTAATCAGTTTGCAAGATATACCTATATTAAATCATAACGTTCTATAACTTTAACTATACAATGTCATTGTCAATTATTTATCTCAATAAAGGTGAAAAAGAAGGGGCTGCATCTCCTGGTTCCTTTCTTCCCATCTGCAGAGGCCAGTCTGGCACTCTCCCACCAAGCCTGACACACACAGTGTGTGCGTGTGCGTGTGTGTGTGCGCGTGTGTGCTCACGCGCGTGTGTGCGTGTATCTGTGCGCGTGTGTCTGTGCGTGCACGTGTGTGCATGCGTGTGTGTGCGTGTGTGTGCACGTGCACGTATGCGTGGCATGCTCTGAACACGGGAAGATAAGATTTCAATGTGTCGTGTCCAGGCTTCCCAAGGACTCCACGGAACACGCTTGGAGGCTTTCTCTGTTTCCCACCAGCCCGAGGTCCCAGCAACGCCAACTTTCTCCTTCTCCTTGCCTCTTCCCTTCCCCTCTGGGACCCTCATCTCCTCTCTGAGCTCACACGAGACTTAACATCACACAGCCGCAGCTCTCAGCTCTTCCAAAACTCCAGCCCCCGGAACATCCACACGCACACACATGCACACACGCTCTGGCCTTCAGGAGGAGAATGAGGGCTGCCTGGTAAGGAGACCACCTCAAGGCATCTTTGTCTCCCCTAGGCAGCAAGACCCCTGTAGTCCTGCCTGTCACCCTTTTGGCCTTATTGCAGTACCCTGCCAGTTCTCCTGGTCCCCAGTCACCAGGATCAGACCCAGCTGTGGACAGAAATGGGAGAGAAACAAGAAAGGCAGAGACACAAGACACAGAAGCAGGAGAAGACAGAGAGAGAGAGAGAGGATTCAGAGATGGACAGATAGGAAAGCGAAAACAGAAAGAGAAATGGAGAAAGAGAAGACAGTCATCTACAAGAAGAGAGAGTATGGTGGAAAAAGATAGTGAGGAGCAAGACAGATGGCATGGGGAGAAAGATAGGTCTTCAAGAGAGAAGAGGAATGTCACAGGAGGAGAGCAAGAGAAGGATCAGAGGCGTTGAGTTACAGGCCGAGAGAATGAAGGAGAAATATGGAGGGTCGTGGGCCAAGGAGAGAAAGGAGAACACACACAGGCACACACACAATTACACAAACAGTCACACACACAGAATCACACGCAGAGGCACACACACAGTCACACACAGTCATTCACACACATACACAGTCACACACGTAGTCACATACAGCCACACACAATCACACATACATACACACACAGTCACACACATGCACACACAACATCACACACACCAAAGACAGGCAGGAGAGGAGCTGGAAGCCACAGGCTGAGCCTCTAGCTAGAAGGCCTCTCCTACTCAGACCCCCAATGACCCCTGATGACCCCCAGAAGCCCCCAGAGCTGCAGCCTGGTGAGCTCAGGTCACGTCACTACAGGGCTGCCCCCTCCACCTGCGGTGTGCCCAGCCCAGAGAATGCAAGGCGGTGGTCTCCTCCAGAGCTGGCCCTTGGAGGCCAGGGCCCTAGACTCAGATACAGAAGTCCACCAGGGCCCGTCATGCTGCTAATGCTGCGGAGCCCACACCCTCACCCCTTCCTTCCCTGCCCTGCTCCCCTGGCCGCCCTCACTCCCTTCCAGGTTTTGTCCCTAAACCACACATCTGGTCTCTCTCTCTCTCAGGCTTTGTTACTGGGAAACCTGGCCAGACATACTCACCTCTCAGCTTCAATTCTTTCTGAAAATAGGGATGATCAGACTCATTCCTCAGGGTCGTTCTGATAATGAAAGACAATTCACGAATCACTTGATATGGGGCCTGCCTGGCACTGAGTAAGTCTTTGATAAATGCTTGCTGTCATCATCACCATCCCCACTGTCATCACCAGCGCAGAGGGCTGTGGGGAAGTGGGGAGACTGAGGCCGGGCAGCACCTTCCTCTCTCCACTGCTGTTTCCAGCACAACTGGCTTCCATGAGCTTCGCAATCATCTACCCACCTCCCTGGAGGCCCACCCAGCTGTCCCATGGACACTGCACCCTTAGCCTGTCTGAAAGTGTCACCTCGTCTTACGCCAGCTTGCTGCCCCTTCAGTGCTCCCCTCCCATCTCCTGCCCCCAAGGGGGATAGATACTTCGTCATTCATTGATTGAAGAAGGAAATGGCAACCCACTCTAGTATACTTACCTGGGAAAACCCCATGGACAGAGGAGCCTGGTGGGCTACTGTCTGTGGGGTCACAAAGAGTTGGACACGACTGAGTGACTAAGCACATTCATTGATATTTCTGATGACAAGAACAGAGCCTGGCATACAAGCGATACTCAATATGTGTTTGCCGAATGAATGAATGAGTGAGTGAAGGGGACACAGCAACCAGGAAAGACCTAACTTGCCTAAGAACATACCAAGCATGGTGAAAATAAACCCAGACGCAGGGTTCCTGCCCTCACAGACTCCTGCAAGGTAAGCAGGCAGCCGGCGCTACTGGGGGCCAGCCTGCCACTCCATCTGCCCCCACCCCGGGCCCTTGGAGTCTCCGCGGGCAGCACCTCCCTGCCAACGCCCAGCCTCTCCTGAATCATGGAAAGAATGAGAGCAACCAGCCCAGGGATGCGCACGGGCTCTCCTAGGGAGCTGGCGACGGGCCGTGGGGAGCTTCCAGCCACTTCTGAGTCCTCCGCGCAGGCGCTGTGCACGCAGGTGGGCTCCTGTGGGAGGGAGGCACCTCCTTCTGTCCTGGGGCAGAAGCTGAGGAACTTGTCTCTCTGGCTCCCGGGACCGCAGGGCTCTGGGCCACGGCCCACTGCCCAGATGGGAAGACAGAGGCCCAGTGGGCTCGCCCAAGGTCACCCTGTGAGTGGGTGCAAGGCTTTGACACCACACCTCCTGAAGTCAGAAGTTACAGTAACTGCTGCAGCTGCCATTCGTCCAGCCCCTTCTCCACCCCAGGCGCCGTGCGGGCTGCTGTGGCCACGGACGGGCTCAGTTCCTAGACGTAGCTTTTATAATCCCCATTTGAAACATAGGGGCGATGTAGCCTTGAAAACCTGAGTCACTCACTCTAGATCACGCAGATTCAAGGTTGGGCTGGACCTCTGTGGAGTCCTGGCTGGCCCCAGAGTCAGCCGAGACACAGTTCCCGATCCCTGCAGGCCTGTCCCCTTGCCCTGGGGGCCTGGGTACCCAGCTGATGCTGTGTGCACAGGCGCTTCCATGCACGGCACTCACCCACCAGCCCTCAAAGCCCCTTTCATGGGCCTACTCCACACCCCACTGGGGAGGCCGGACAAAACCGCTAGTGTTGGGATTATTTTTCTATTTCCAGATGGATCTGTTTTCTGGCTCCATCCAGGGCCTCCCATCCTTGCGTGGGGGCCGGGGGCCCAGCGCCAGGTTAATATTAGGAGGTAGCAGGGAAAAAAAAAAAAAAAGGGCAACCTAAGGCAGCTCCTCACAGAGTTCTGGGCTGATCCACCAGGGCAGGCTTGGAGGAATATTGCTGGGGCATTCAAGGGGGCCTGGCAGCCAGGCAGGCCGCAAGGAAAAAAAGATACTCCTAAAAAAACAACAACAACAATTGTTCAAGGAAGCTCTTCAGTGTCTCATTTTGGGCTAGGGGCCAGCATAGAGTCCCCAGGTGATCCGTGGGGCTGAGCTGGACTGTACTCACGCTGAACTGAAAATGATATTTTCAAATTCAATCAGGCAGTCATTCATATAACCCACATTTACTGAGTACTTACTGTCATCAGGTGATGCACAAAGGTTTCTACTCAGGAGGAGCCCACAGCCTACTAGGGAGATGGCATTAGTTGGGTCATCACACTGATAAAGGGATCCTACCACTGGGGTCAAGTGCTGTGGAAAAGAAGGCCCCGATACAGAGGATGTCAGACTTCAGCTTTTGTCCAAATCACCCAATCCAAATTTTTCAAAAAAAAAAAAAGATCCAAAGAGGGATAGCGACTTTTGGGTACCCAGATAGGGTACCAGGGTCCAGAGCTATACTCCCCAACTTTGGCTGGGCCATGGCAGAACAACCTGGGCAGTGATGGGATCCAGACCATCTTGCCTTGTTACTGGGGGACTATGTGAAGAAGACCAGGATGAAACATTCACTTCAGATTGAGACTTGAACCCGTGTGCCAGGACTCGAACCCGGCTAAAACCCACAGTCTTCCAACTGAGATCACACACCTGGTTTCAGGACTTAATGACGCCCAGGTTCTCAATATCTCATCGCAGAAAGAATTCAGTGAGAGACAAAGTGACAGGTAAGAAGGGGATTTATTTAAAGAGAAATACACTCCACAGACAGACTGTGGGCCATCTTGGGAGGTGAGAGCAGCCTCACCGTGTGGTGCGGTTAGCTTTTATGGGCTGGGTAATTTCCTAGGCTAATGAGTGGGAGGATTATTCCAACTATTTGGGGGAAGGGGCGGAGAATTCCAGGAATTGGGCCACCACCCACTTTTTGGTCTTTGAAGGTCAGCCCTGGAACTATCATGGCGCCTGTGGGTGTGTCACTTAGCTTGCCGATGTGTTAATGAGCATGGACTGAGGCTCAAGGTCTAGTGGAAGTTGACTTGTCTGCCATCTTGGGCCCATTTGGTTCTAGTCAGTTTAGGTTGTGTCCTTAAGTGAGTAAGTGTTAGTCACTCAGTCCTGTCTGATTCTTTGTGACCCCGTGGACTGTAGCCCACCAGGCTCCTCTGTCCATGGGATTTCCCAGGCAAGAATATTGGAGTGGGTTGCCATTTCCTTCTCCAGGGGATCTTCCCAAGGATAGAACCCTGAACTATGTCATTCCTTCAAAGGTTGTGCCCTGCTCACTTCCCTCCTGCTTTAAGGCTATGGGGAACTGGTTGGCCACCATTGATGAAAGCCAAGTGTATAAAGAAATTGTCTCCAAAGCTCATTAAATCTGTCTATTAATGGAAATGTGACTCAGTGATTGTTACCAAAAAACCCAATCCAGCCCGAGGAGGGACATGTTTCACCCTCTTCTTGGCCTCCAAAACCCAGGAACAAAATCAACAGATTATGACATTGTGTGTTTGTGTGGGGCACAGCTGTGACGTTGGGGCAGGGGAGGGAGGGGAGGTCCTCTGAGGCCCAGGACAAGTACCGGGGGATTTTGACCTGAAGCAGAGTCACCTGAGTGGAGGTGGGGACAGCCACTTGAAGGGCCATCCCGTATGAGCCCACGCGGTCTGGGTGCTTTTGGGGAAGGCTCCGGAGGGACATTTTACCCCGTGCTGAAAAGGAACTTGAGTTTTCAAACAATGTACAGAGGGTGAAAACGGAGGGTGGTGAACAGGCAGGCCTGGCCAGGGTGGGGCTGGGGGTGGGGGGAGGACAGCAGAAATCAATGACTCCTTGGCAGAGGCTGAAGGGGAAACTTCTGGCCCGGTTAGGGGCTTGGATGAGAACCCAGGGCCAAATGAGGTCTACAGATGTTGTCACACTCAGGATCCTGGCAGGAGGCAGCACACGCTGCTACAGGGGTCAACTGAGAGAGTATTCGATGCTCCCGGCAAACAGACCAAGTAGCTGATAGCTAGTGATGCTGCTACTAGTGACCATGATAAAAAAAAAAAAATTAGAATGGAACGTCTCAGTGGAAATATTCAAAACAAGTCATCCACAGAGGACTGGGCTGGGCTGTGGGACTCAGCCAGGGCTGGTGAAGCACTCGGGACAGTGAGAAACCCTTGCCATCTCATTCTGAAGGGACGAGGGGAGGGAACAGTTTAGTGGAGCTGAGCGGGAGCTACAATAGGAAAGCCACCATCACGAAGTTCCAGCAGCGGGAGCTGAGAGGGAGCAAATATCCCAGCCTCTCTCCTCCTGCCCTCCAGTAGCGTGTCCCCCCCACAAACCAAACCCACCCAGAAGTTAGGGGACACGGGAGCCGAGGCGAGGCCGCGCAGCCCCCAGAGGTCAGCCTCCTGGGGCACAGGGCAGGGCAAGGAGGTGCAGGGAGAGGATGAGGGGACCAGGGAAGGGGAGGAGAATAACAAGACGTGTTTTGATTGGTTGTCCATATGTCCACCTTTAAAAAAAAGAATACCTTGGCTGGTAGGGCAATTTCCAGTTGACCACAGACCTCAGCACTCCCAACTACGTGACAGTCCAACTGACCTGGTTTAATAGGTTCCCAGCTGGCCCCTGTAGGCAGCTGAGTTTGTGAGCCCCAGAAAACTGAACTCAGAAGTGACTTCCAAGGCCCCTTCGACTTCGTGATTCCCAGGGAGGAGTGGGGTAGATTAAGAAAAGAAAGGCCATTGCTGAAACTGTACTGAACCCCTTCCCTGTGCTGGGAACCAGCTGGGGTTCTGGGAAACCAGTGATTATCAAGAATAGGTTCCCAGCTGGCCCCTGTAGGCAGCTGAGTTTGTGAGCCCCAGAAAACTGAACTCAGAAGTGACTTCCAAGGCCCCTTCGACTACCTGATTCCCAGGGAGGAGTGGGGTAGATTAAGAAAAGAAAGGCCATTGCTGAAACTGTATTGAACCCCTTCTCTGTGCTGGGAACCAGCTGGGGTTCTGGGAAACCAGTGATTATCAAGACAGACTGGTCTTAATCCTCGGAGAACTTACAGTCTAATGGAGGGTGACTTGAATTTGTTGAACAAATATCTAGAAGGCATGGTTGGGTGTTGGTTACATAGCAACAAGCATTAATTCCCCTGAACTTATATTTGCTGGGGAAGACAGAAAAGAAAGAAGGAAACCCATAAATGTATAATTTTATAAGCATTGTGAAAAAAACCAAAGCAGCCTAAGTGGTTTGAAAATGATGAGAACCTTGAGGCTTGTTAAAGTTATCAGTTGGGGTGTGAAAAACAATTGCAAGCAGAGTGACACATAACAACCAGACAAGTGAGGGCTTGTCTCAGTTCCTTGAGGTCTGGGGTCTGGACTGGGGAGACTGGAATGGCTGTGGGAGCTCGAAGAGGTGGGGGCTGGACTCACCTGCAAGCATCTCCATTCATGTGTGTGGCAGGCACCACAGTGCCCTGCTCCTGACCAAGGATGCCCACGTCCTCATCCTGGAACCAGTGAATAGTGTACCTTAGGTGGTAAAAAAAAAAAAGGCTCTGTAGGTGTGATTAACTTCAGGATTTTGAAGTGGGAAGAGTATTCTTGGTTACTCAGACGGGGCCAATGGAAAGTCAGAGAAATAAATATGACAGTGGAAACAGGAGACATAGTCAGAGAGATTAGAAGATGATATGCCGTTAGGCTTGAAGTTGGAGAAAGGGGCTATGAGCTGAGGAATGCAGGCAGCTTCTAGGAGCTGAAAAAGGAAAGGATTTCCCCCAGAGTCTCCAGAGAAATGCAGCCTGGCTAGCATCTTGATTTTAGCCTGATGAGACCCATTTGCGACTTGACTCCAGAAGTGTTAAGAGAACACATTTGCATTATTTTAAGCCACCAAGCTTGCAGTAATTTGAAGACATAGCGGCACTAAGCAGCTAAAACAATGTGTCTGGTGCATTGGCTTTAGGTTACTAAAAAATGGGCTCAGCCAGGACGGCTAACCAGATCACCACTCCCCCTCCCCCACCACGACCTCTCCATGTGGCTTCGTCTTCCTCACAGCATGGGGGCCTCAGGGTGGTTGGACTTTCCATGGTGGTCCAGAGCTCTCAAAACAAGTGTTTTAGCAAAAAGGCAGAAGCTCCATGGCCTTCTACAACCCAGCCTCAGAATTTCCTAGTGTCGCTTCCATCATACACAATGGATCAAAGCAGATACAAGTCCACCCAGAATCAAAGAGAAGGGACAGAGACCCTAC